ACTCTGGCTGGGGCGGATTTTTAGTAGACGGCAGTGCAGTCGAGGTAGCCAGAGGAGAGTGGTCCAATGAGATTTTTGAATGACCGAAGAAGCTCCACGTGGAGAGAATTGAGAGCAATCGCGTTGGTGCTTGAATCATTAGCACACAAACTAGAAGGAGGTATCTGCATTCACAGAAGCGATAACCAGGCAGCTGTGCACATTATCCAGGTGGGCAGCAGAAGGGAGCATTTGCAAAGGGAGGCCATGCGAATCCTCCAGGTGTGCATGAAACACGGAATCCGCCTGATTGCCGAATGGGTTCCCAGAGAACAAAATGAACTGGCGGACTACTATTCGAAAATAGTTGACACAGATGATTGGCGGCTAAACCCGGCTGTTTTTGAACAAATCGAGCGTTTGTGGGGTCCCCATATGCTAGATTGATTTGCGAGTCTGAGGACGAAACAGTTAAAGCGTTTCTGTTCAAGGTGGTGGAATCCGGGATTATGCGATCGATGCATTTACGGTTGATTGGTCAATGGAAACGGTGTGGCTTACACCTCCGTTCCACCTAATACCCAGGGTTTTGAGTATGTTAAAAGTGTGCTGCGGCCATGGCACACTGGTTGTGCCTGAGTGGGTGTCAGCGGATTGGTGGCCAAAATTACATGGGAGGCAAAACTGGAAACCATTAATTTTGTAAAAGGAGTTTTGGTGCTACCCCATGATGAAAACACATTTCTGGAAGGTACCTGCCCTTACAACTTGCTGGGGGCCAAGCAATATTATTCAGAAATACTGGCTTTAAGAGTGTGCATGAAGAATAACTGTTGCTGATTTGCGTACTGACACGATTGCTGTGGTTTTGTGGCGCGAGCACATGTGAGTGCACGGTGCACAAGGCATTGTCCTATGTTGGTGTTCAGGGAACACCATTGCCTGCAGGGCAGGAGGCAGATGCTGCTGACAATGCCATAATCCGCAGGGCGGACGGATGCTGCTGCTGGTGATGCCGATGACGATGTTGTAGCCCACAGGGCTGGCAGACGCTGCTGCTGATGCCGTTGTATAATGCCCACGTGCTCTTCAAGTGATGCTGATAGCTGCTGCAGATGCTGAAGCCGACGCTAATGCTGATGACTCTGTTGACAGGCGCCTCACGTTATGATCTTGTGTTCATGCCTAGAGCTGAGGGCGGTTCAAGTGGAGCCAACCCAGGAGCTCGTGAACCTATCCAGGAAGATTCCAGAAGTCATGTTGGCGAGTAGGGCACCGGGAACAGTGACCAAGTATTTGTCGACATTTCAGCGCTGGCAAGAGTGGGCTAGCAGTCAAGAGATCCCGAGCGTACCAGCCGAGTCTTGGCACATATGTTTGTATGTCGTGAAGCTACTCCAGGAGGCACGGACAGCGTCACCAATATCATCCGCTATTTGCGCGTTGGCCTGGTCGCACAAGGTGCGAGGCCTACCGGACCCCACAGACAACGCACAGGTTCGGAACCTAGTCCAGGCCGCCAAACGACTGCTGGCGGCGCCGAAGAACCGGAAGAGGCCGATGACGAAGCAGATGCTAAACCAAGTTGCTACCAGGCTCTTGCGCAATGAATCACTGCAGAACTTGCAGACAGCGACTCTGATGACCGTTGGCTTCGCAGGGCTCTTGCGGTGGAACGACTTGTCAAACATATACGTCGACGAGATCGAAATCAAGGAAGATTACATGGCACTATTTCTCGAAGTGAGAAAAAATGATCAACTGTGCCAAGGAAACTGGGTGATGCTGTCAAGATGGCATGGAGCAGTATGCCTAGTGGCTCTAACAGAGCGACTGCTGTCTAGAGGTGGCTACGAAGGCCACCAGAAGTTGTTCGGCCGTATTCAGCGAGGAAACGCTAGTCAAGTTGTCCGGAACCAGATGTCTTACAGCCGTGCCCGAGAGCTGATCCAGGACGCGCTGTGCCAAGCGAACTTCAACCCAAACGCATTTGGGCTGCATAGCCTGCGTTCTGGGGGAGCATCGGTGGCCGCGGCAGCAGGAGTCCTGGATAGACTGATCCAACGTCAGGGCGGCTGGAGAAGCGAAACATCCATGCGGATGTACTTCAAGGAGTCACTCTCAGCAATGCTCTCAGTGTCAAGGGCACTGGCCATCCATTAGCTATGCTTTGCTGCTCTTGCTGTTGCTGTTGTCCCCGCAGAGGCTGTTTGTTGTTGCTGAGTGCGTGTGTATGTGGCCTTGTGGGTGTGCATGTGACTGAGGTGTGTTAGAGGTGGTAGCACGTATGGTGTGGCTGCACACAGGAGTGAGAAAGAGAGTAAAAAAGAAAGATAATATGATGACCGCATGATATTTTAGATAAGGAATGAACTGTAAAACCTTTCAATAGCAGGTCTCTTGCCGACCACCTGTGAGACATTCCTCATGTATCTTACACGTCTTCTTTTCTCACATGATCCATTGCCGCACTTGCATTTTTACACCTGAGTACAGTAGTCTTATGTGAGTAATTATGGCGTAGTCGAAATAGAACAAGCACGCGTACATGTACATGTACAGATGAAGACGAAACCCACTCACCACACACTCTTTATGATGCCTACTAGCCAACCTGCAATGTAGGAACCACAATTACATTACAGAGCAGTGCCGTAGGATCACGGTTAAGTACATGCTGTCCAAGAATTCACCACTATACACCTATCATCAAACCTCCTAGATTTGGACTTCAGAAAACTTACATCGTACTGGAACGTCAAATTGTACTCTGCATGTGTTTGGTATTTATTGGTGTATTTTTTTGGACGCAGTGAAACACGATATTGTGAAGTGGAATAAAACAAATAAAAACAAAAGATGTGGCTTTGGTAAATTCCTTTGTCCGTTGTTCATCAAACTCAATGTTGCAGCAGTGGTTGTTTGCCAATAATGCCATTTACCATGTCTACACTCCAAACGTATGACCCCTGTAAGCCCATATCCAATATATACTTGGATCAGTCGTAGTTCAAGTACTTCAGTAAATAGTTCCCTTCAGTCTGACCCATTTGTACAACGGATGCACTAGTCTGTACTTGACGATCTCTATGATGTACTCACCTGCACATCGCCTGTGTGCCCATGGTCGGGCCTACAAGTAGTTCCTCTGCTAGCGGAGGAACTACTTGTAGGCATGTAGGTTGTCCGAAGGCATGTTGCTGACAAACTGTGACAGGCTGTGTTGTGGCATGCGAGTGGCATGCGCTGCAACAGCCAAACTCGACTTCTTTGACGCAGACTTCTGGTGGTTCAGATTGGTATAGTGGCCATTCATCCATGTAAAGTTGGAAATCGACTGTTCCAGCCAGGTCAGGAACCCTTACGAGCGGCCAGTGATGCTATATCCACTAAGTTTCAGGCAATTGTGTATTGTCCATGCTCCTCTGTTCCGGCTCTTCACCCTTCCCCCCGTCCGCCAACGCCCTCAATACATATCTGCCCTGCAGTTGTACTTGCAGATCACAAACGTACAGACACTGCACCAAAGTGAAACCAGTTTTGCTCATTGGGCATCGCCAGCGCAACGATCAGGGATGGTGTGATGGTCTAACGCATCTCTTGACGTTCATGTACCAATATTGCCATCTGAAAAATCCATATCGGCATATGCCGTGATCGTGGAATAATGATATTAACGAAATGGTGTTCCCCAGTGTAGTGAACCTTCTAGATAGTGGTCAGAGCGAAGAGGGGACGATGGAGTTAGCGAACATGTGCACAAGTGTCGTATCCATACGATTGGCACGTGCCTTTTAGGCCTCTACGGGACAAGTATGCCTTATTTAGTTGTTTTATTATTTATCTATCTCCCGTAAACGGGTTCATAATCTTCTTTATTTTATACTTCCCCACATGGCTCCCGCAACAGTTCGTACGCATATTGATTACGGTGATACGCTATTGCATGCGGGACCAGCAATCTCGTGGCCATGGACTTCCATGGCCGCAACTAGATCATATTGCCTTCTCCTTGCTTTTCTCTCTCTCTCTGGCCTTCCGCCTTCAGGCGGAAGCTTCGGCTTTCGTCTGTCTTGCCTTGTGCTCTCATATCGTCTCTTGAACCAAGTTAGCTCCTTTTGAAGATGTGAGTCAACCTGAACGCTGGTGTGAGTGTACGTGTCTGTATATGCCTGAGTGTGTGTGTGAGAGTATGTCTAGGTATATGTGCGTGCGTGCGTAAGAGTAATTCTGTTGGTGGACTCTCTCCAAGTGGCCACCACTGCACGGCCTTGTAATGTGAAGGTTTATTAGTAAGTTAGTTCATGTCGACGACCGCAGCCTTGGGGTCAAACCCCGGGCCGTCCGGATACGACATTTGGCGCAGTGAACAGGATCCGACACCTTGTGTGCTGTCAACGAGAGAGACATTGATGAGTAAGACATTGTGATGCCCCGGTTGTTCGAATGGACGGGCAGTATGGAGTTTCCGCTGCCCGATCCGCGAATGACCGGACTTCTACGAGATCTCTAGGTTATCAAGAAGAAGGTATGGTTGTTCTTGGGCTGTTTCTCGTGATCGTAAGTTTGACGAAAATTCCACGTGGCGTCGTAAATCCATTATTTTGGTTTGTGTCACTTGGTATGGACATTCGCATTCTGGAAACAGATGTGGAGCGCCGCCAAGTCAAGGGTTTGATCATGGCGTCAATGGAGAATTTGACCTGTATGACGAAGCTGGCATAGTGGCAGCAGTTTTCCTGCTGCCCTTTGTGGCTTGTGTTTTTTGTTGTGGTTTTGTGTTTGTGACCTTGTGGTTCAGCAGGTGCTGTGAAAAAGAGCTGCTGTTGCATCCCGCGCTGTCTCAGCAGCTGCTCATGCTCGTGCAGCTATTGTAGCTGAAGCCATTGCTGTAGGGTTTCTACCGCCCCATCGGTGGGAGTGGAATCGATGCCCCTACAGTGCGATCCTCGCTGGTCCCCTGACCTTGGCGGTAAGGAAGAATTGGAAAAATACGCCAGTTTGTATTTGTTGCAAATTGACGCATTTGCAGCGCTTGTTAGCTCTGTGCATGTGGCTCATTGCAGACTGATTATTGCTGAGTCCTAGGCCTTGCGAGTTCCCAGAAGAAACCTATGAATTAGCCTCTGGGATGTAGCTGATGCTATTACCGCTCTTTAGAGATCGGATAGCTCTAGTCTAGTGCCCTTTTCTGTGGGTTCTCAGTCTGTGGGAGTACTTTCTCTGAGAGTTGTCATTATTAACAAAAGAAGGGGGTCGTTTGCATCTGCTTCTGTAGATTTTCCCGGGAAGTGGAACCCTGGGGTTGAAGTCAGTATCTGCAAAACTTAGACTACTACAGAAAACAATAGCCTGATCTATGTGTTCTGTCTTCTTTGAACATGCGAGTGAGTGTGCGGACATGTTGGTGCCTGGAGCGGTGAATGGATGTCCAGTGGACGCTGTGATTGATACAGGATCCGCCGCTACATTGTTGTCGAGAGGAATTTGCCGACCGCCTACCTAAGGAGCTGGAAAAGGAAACCTCTGACCAAGGCCCGAAGTTAATTGGCGCCAACGGGCAACCACTAGAAGCTGTGGCGTCAGCAATTGTTCAGTTGGAACTCGGAGATGCAACCTGTTGGCACCGGGTAAGAATTGTTAAGGGGTTGCCGCGTGATTGTATTGTTGGCCGGGACGTATTATCCCACATTCCTTGCACAATTTCTTCGGGACAAGGGCGAATGTTCTTCTCTACCTCCCCCGCCTCAATCAGTACTGTGGGTTCGGATTATGGAGTGTTGCAACTGAAATCTAAAGTGACATAGTTGGTCTTTGATCGCCTCTTGAAGGCAGATCTGCGGTTGAAGCCCAGTAAGTGTTTCTTGTTCCGCACAAGTGTTGAGTTCCTGGGCCACATTGTTACCCGTCAGGGGGTTAGGACCGACCCGGGTAAGATCGAGAGTCGGAAACTGGCCTACCCCTGAAGCAGTTGGAGAAGTGTGTGGTTTCTTGGGATTCTGTGGGTATTATAGGCGGTTGGCCCAAGATTTTGCCACCATTGCCCGCCCCTTGTACAGCCTGACGAAAACTGGCCAAGTGTTTTTGTGGACCCCTGACTGTGAAACCGCTTTCCTGAATCTGAAGACAGTGCTGACAACCGCCCCAGTACTAGCTTACCCCAGGTTTGGGCAAGATGCATCACCATTTCTGGTAGACGTAGATGCTAGTGGACTAGGGTTAGGAGCAGTGCTGTCTCAGGTTCAGGAAGGTCTGGAACGGCCGAGAGCGTAGGCTAGTCGACTTCTGGCCGATACAGAAACACGGTACGCATCCACGAAAAAGGAATTGTTAGGTTTAGCGTGGGATGTGCGACATTTTCGTTGCTACCTGCTTGGTGGACAATTTGTGAGTCGTACGGATCATCGTTCTCTAGAACACTTGGCTAATTTCAAAATCCACCGGCGATTGTGGCTCGCTGGCTGGAATTTTTGTCTGAATTTGAGTTCACCATATTGTACAGGGCAGGTCGATCGCACACTAAAGGTGATGCACTGTCACGCCGCCCTGACGCTTCGACGACGCTGTTCGTAGGGGCCGTGAACAACGACGTTGGCAACATCCCCGCACCCCTCATCCGCCGTTTCAACTGGCCGTGGTCAAGATGGGAAACGGAACAGGAGAAGGACCGAGATCTCGCCCAAGTAGTGTCCTGGCTAGGTATGGACTCTCCGCCTTGCCCACAGGACATGATGGGTAGCAGTCCTGAGGTACGTATTTTGTGGAAAAATCATGAAATGCTGGTTCATCATGAGGGGGTGTTGTGCCGTCGTTGGGAGGACCCTTGCCCCGGTAAGCCGTCTATCTTGCAAGTTGTTGTTCCCCGGCATTTACGATCATTGGTTTTGCAAGAGTATCATGACCAGGGGGGACATACGGGTTCTACACGCCTGCAGAAGAAACTGACGCAACAATTTCACTGGGTAGGCATGAAGAAAGATGTCTTGGATTGGGTTGCAAGTTGTTCTTCCTGTAGCCAGTTGAAGCGTCCCGTTGGCAGAGGGTCTGGCGCTCCAATGCAGTCTTCCTGGACGGGGTATCCTTTTGAGCGAGTAGCTATGGATTTGATCCCCAATTTGCCGGAGACAGCGGAAGGGAACCGCCATATTTTGGTTGTAGTTGACTATTTCACTAAATGGGTGGAAGCTTTTCCGCTTTCGAGAATGGATGCTTCCACTATTGCTTTGGTGTTTGTTAATGAGTTTGTGTCACGTTTTGGTGCTCCTGATCGGTTGCATACCGATCAGGGCAAAAACTTTGATGGCTCTCTGTTTCGCAGTGTTTGCTTTCTGCTTGGCATAGATAAGACCAGGACAACTGCGTACCATCCACAGAGTGATGGTCTGGTTGAGAGATTCAATCAGACGCTGGAGCGTGGCCTGGCGCACTACGTCTGCCGGAATCATCGAGATTGGGACATCAAGTTGCCAGCCTTCTTGATGGGATACCGCTCGACGCCGCAGACTAGTACCGGCTACAGTCCAAGCTATCTGCTCTTTGGTCGGGAGCTATGCCTACCTCAAGACTTGGCATTTGGATTACCGCCAGGAGCAGCATCCGCAGTAGCGTCCCAGCCGGAATTCGTGAGTGCTCTCCGCCGACGCCTGGAGGACGCTCATGCGCAGGTTCGGGAGCACTTGGGCAACGTGCACCGCTATCAAGCGCATATCCGTGATCGTAACGCTAAGGCCGTGACGTTTGCAGCTGGTGATGCAGTGTGGCTTCTGGTGCCGGCCATTCCGACGGGTACAACCGCCAAGTTTTCTAGACTGTGGCACGGACCGTACCTAGTCGAGGAGAAGCTCTCCGCCGTCACCTACCGCATCAAGCTGTCTGAGCCCACGACACGTCGGCTGATAGTGCACGTCAACCGGCTGAAAAGTTGTCATCATCGACCGAGTCGGCTGCAGGAGGTTCACGAACAAGATGAGTCGGACCCACCGCAGCCCATGGCATCCACCCTGACTCCGTCCTACCAGCCTGATGCCACTGATGCCGCCGCCCGAGACGAGGAGGACACCGCTCGGGTATTCGACAGTGCTCCGCCAGTTGGCGTGATGGAAAGGCGAACCCCGCGTTCCCGCCATCCACCTCAGCTGTTTGGGAGTCCCGTCTGGCACGAGTAAGGATTTCAGTGGTATTGACTGGATTGGTTGTGGCCAATATTACAGCTAGTCTTTGAACAGTTTTTGATCGGAACTCAAATTGTGACCTGCACTCGTTTAGTTAAATTGTTAGCCATAATCTTAGTTTAATTTATTACGTTACTTATAACACGAGGACGTGTTCTTTTCCGTGTAAGCGGGGGGATATGTCGTATCCATACGATTGGCACGTGCCTTTTAGGCCTCTACGGGACAAGTATGCCTTATTTAGTTGTTTTATTATTTATCTATCTCCCGTAAACGGGTTCATAATCTTCTTTATTTTATACTTCCCCACATGGCTCCCGCAACAGTTCGTACGCATATTGATTACGGTGATACGCTATTGCATGCGGGACCAGCAATCTCGTGGCCATGGACTTCCATGGCCGCAACTAGATCATATTGCCTTCTCCTTGCTTTTCTCTCTCTCTCTGGCCTTCCGCCTTCAGGCGGAAGCTTCGGCTTTCGTCTGTCTTGCCTTGTGCTCTCATATCGTCTCTTGAACCAAGTTAGCTCCTTTTGAAGATGTGAGTCAACCTGAACGCTGGTGTGAGTGTACGTGTCTGTATATGCCTGAGTGTGTGTGTGAGAGTATGTCTAGGTATATGTGCGTGCGTGCGTAAGAGTAATTCTGTTGGTGGACTCTCTCCAAGTGGCCACCACTGCACGGCCTTGTAATGTGAAGGTTTATTAGTAAGTTAGTTCATGTCGACGACCGCAGCCTTGGGGTCAAACCCCGGGCCGTCCGGATACGACACAAGCTATGTCCCAAACTATGATGTACGAAGGCAATGCACCGCTTTGATGTAGATTAGGAGCTCAGATGTCACTTTACCTCTCTCTATGCATTTGACAAGACCCTGTGGGTATCTGAGCGCCCTGGTAAGACTTGCCTTCACTGCGTTCAGTCTTGCTGATTGGGGCTCTTGTACATCGCCTATACGCACATGTACGCACATAATATAGCGACTAGCAAGAATGTGTTTGGCACGTTCCACAATTTCATGCTGTTCATTAAATGACATCTTGATGACAAGCAGTGACAAGCGGGTTTGCCGCAGGCGCAATGTAAAAGTCAAGTGGGGCTGAGTTCAGTCGACCAAACCCTATTTGCGACTAATGTCCATGTAGCAGCCTGCCATTTTCTTTGATTGGCGTCACATTGCTTCTTATCCTTTCCCATATGAAGTAAGGAAATTATGCCAAGTTATCGATAAGCTTGTGTGTTTGAGCCCATGACATGTCGATCATACATGTACAGTAGCACTGGCATGTGACCACTGCGTGCCACTCATAGCCCTGGTATACATTAGCCATCTAGTTACGGGTCCATCTACATGTACATGTACGTGTAGCTCATTTCTTAGGCTTGTGTTAGTGGGTCAGCAAAGGATGTCTACGTGCAGCAGCCAACCGAGCTGCTACGGAGTACCACTGACTGATATCATGGCACTCCTCGTGCGTGTGTATTGCATAGGCTTGCAGAGAGTCTAAGCAGAAAGCGAGCAACTAGTAATCAATTTGTTTCATTTAGGGCTTTGCTCCCGGAAGCAGTTATCCTTATCGCAAGGCAAACGAGCTTTATCGTGATTCGTGTGCTACACCCAATTGATCCAGGAATATACACCAACAGCTGGTAGGTGGAAACGTTTTGGATAGTTTTGTTTGTCGAATGTCGATTGATTCAAAGTAACTCGATCGTTCCTATCCTTCTGTTGTCTCCGATAGGGGTTTGTTGGCCGGATTTGAATTTTCCATCGTAATTGAGAACATTTCTCAGTACTGGTTTTGAACAGTGTTGCAACCAGTAGAGACGAGCACTATGGTGCTTCAGTTTAAGGTACGTTACGCTGTAGAGTAAGTGTGGCTCAAGAATGTTTCTATGTAAGCAGTATTATACCCAGTATGCTCCATAACAAATGCGGGAAGTGGTGGTGGGGCCGTGCTTCTTAGGCTAGCCTGGCAGTGTCGGCGTCTACACAGACAAGGTGCACCAGAAACATAGGGTGTTCAGCAGAGCAGGAATGTAAGACAGGCCAAGTTTTCGGAATTTCATTCCACTTACACCTCTACTGCAGAGGGAGACCGTTTCACTTACCTTTGTCGTATCCGGTCGGCCCGGGGTTAGACCCCACGGCTGCGGTTCGACATGAACTAACTTACTTACAAGTACTTACTAAACCTTCACATTACAAGGCCGTGCAGTGGTGGCCACTTGGAGAGAGTCCACCAACAGAAGTACTCTTACGCACGCACGCACATATACCTAGACATACTCTCTCACACACACACACACACACACACACACTCAGGCATATACAGACACGTACACTCACACCAGCGTTCAGGTTGACTCACATCTTGAAAGAGGGTACATGTGACTCAGTTCAAGAGACAATAATGAAGAGCACAAGGCAAGACAGACGAAAGCCGAAGCTTCCGCCTGAAGGCGGAAGGCAAGAGACAGAGAGAAAAGGAAGGTGATGGCAATAGTACCTACACATGTAGTTGCGGCCATGGAAGTCAATGGCCACGAGATTGCTGGTCCCGCATGCAATAGCGTATCAAACCGTAGTAAATATGTGTACGAACTGTTGCATAAAGGGCGGGAGCCATGTGGGGAAATAACAGCGTATACCAAAAAAGGAAGGCCCCAGGCCTTGTGTGAAGACATAAAATAAAGACGATTATGAACCCGTTTACAGGAGATAGATAAATAATTAGACACCTAAATAAGGCATACTTGTCCCGTAGAGGCCTAAAAGGCACGTGTCAATAGTATGGATACGACATAGCCCCCGGCTTACACGGAAAAGAACACGTCCTCGTGTTATAAGTAACGAAATAAATTAGACTAAGATTATGGCTAACAATTTAACTAAACGAGTGCAGGTCAAATTGGAGTTCTTATCAAAAACTGTTCAAAGACTAACTGTAATATTGGCCACAACCAATCCAGTCAATACCACTGAAGTCACTTATACTCATGCCACACAGGACTCCCAAACAGCTGGGGCGAATGGTGGGAACGCGGGGTTCGCCTTTCCAGCACGCCAACTGGCGGAGCACTGTCAAATACCTGAGTGGTGTCCTCCTCGTCTCGGGGGGCGGCATCAGTGGCATCAGGCTGGTGGGACGGAGTCAGGGTGGATGCCATGGGCTGCGATGGGTCCGACTCATCTTGCTCATGGACCTTCTGCAGCCGACTCGGTTGATGATGGCAACTTTTCAGTCGGTTGACGTGCACTATCAGCCGATGTGCCGTGGGCTCAGACAGCTTGATGCGGTAGGTGACGGCTGAGAGCTTCTCCTCGACTAGGTACTGTCCGTGCCAAAGTCTAGAAAACTTGGCGGTTGTACCCGTCGGAATAGCCGGCACCAGAAGCCACACTGCGTCACCTGCTGCACACGTCACGGCCTTAGCGTTGCGATCACGGCTATGCGCTTGATAACGGTGCACGTTGCCCAGGTGTTCCCGGACCTGCGCATGAGCGTCCTCAAGGCGTCGGCGGAGAGCACTCACAAATTCCGGCCTTGACGATACTGCGGATGCTTCTCCTGGCGGTAATCCAAATGCCAAGTCTTGAGGTAGGCATAACTCCCGACCAAAGAGTAGATAGCTTGGACTGTAGCCGGTACTAGTCTGCAGCGTCGAGCGGTATCCCATCAAGAAGGCTGGCAACTTGATGTCCCAATCTCGATGATTCCTGCAGACATAGTGCACCAGGCTACGCTCAAGCGTCTGGTTCAATCTTTCAACCAGACCGTCACTCTGTGGATGGTACGCAGTTGTCCTGGTCTTATCTATGCCAAGCAGAAAGCTAACACTCAGGACTGCTACCCATCATGTTCTGCGGGCAAGGCGGAGAGTCCATACCTAGCCAGGACACTACTTGGGCGAGATCTCGGTCCTGCTCCTGTTCCGTTTCCCATCTTGACCACGGCCAGTTGAAACGGCGGATGAGGGGTGTGGGGATTTCGCCAACGTGGTTGTTCACGGCCCCTACGAACAGCGTCGTCGGAACGTCAGGGCGGCGTGACAGTGCATCAGCGTTAGCGTGTGATCGACCTGCCCTGTACAATATTATGGTGAACTCAAATTCAGACAAAAATTCCAGCCAGCGAGGCACAATCGCATGTGGATTTTTGGAATTAGCCAAGTGTTCTAGAGAACGATGATCAGTACGAATTACAAATTGTCTACTAAGCAGGTAGCAACGAAAATGTCGCACAGCCCACACCAAACCCAACAATTCCTTTTTCGTGGATGCATACCGTGTTTCTTTATAGGCCATAAGTCGACTAGCATACCGTATCGGCCGTTCCAGACCTTCCTGAACCTGAGACAGCACTGCTCCTAACCCTAGTCCACTAGCATCTACGTCTACCAGAAATGGTGATGCATCTTGCCCAAACCTGGGGTAAGCTAATACTGGCGCGGTCGTCAGCACTGTCTTCAGATTTAGGAAAGCGGTTCCACAGTCAGGAGTCCACAAAACACTTGGCCTGTTTTCGTCAGGCTGTACAAGGGGCGGGCAATGGTGGCAAAATCTTGGGCAAAACGCCTATAATACCCACAGAATCCCAAGAAACCACGCACTTCTCCAACTGCTTCAGGGGTAGGCCAGTTTCTGACTTTCTCGATCTCACCCAGGTCGGTCCTATCCCCCTCCCGGGTAACAATGTGGCCCAGGAACTCAACACTTGTGCGGAACAAGAAATACTACTTACTGGGCTTCAACCGCAGATCCGCCTTCAAGAGGCGGTCAAAGACCAACTATGTCACTTTAGATTTCAGTTTCAACACTCCATAATCCGAACCCACAGCACTGATTGAGGCGGGGGAGGTAGAGAAGAACATTCGCCCTTGTCCCGAAGAAAATGTGCAAGGAATGTGGGATAATACGTCCCGGCCAACAATACAATCACGCGGCAACCCCTCAACAATTCTTACCCGGTGCCAACAGGGTGCATCTCCGAGTTCCAACTGAAAAATTGCTGACGCCACGGCTTCTAGTGGTTGCCCGTTGGAGCCAATCAACTTCGGGCCTTGGTCAGAGGTTTCCTTTTCCAGCTCCTTAGGTAGGCGGTCGGCAAAATCCTCTGACAACAATGTAGCGGCGGATCCTGTTTCAATCACAGCGTCCATTGGACATCCATTCAACGCTCGAGGCACCAACATGTCCGCATGCTCACGGCAATACAAGGTCAGGGGACCAGCGAGGATCGCACTGTAGGGGCGTCGATTCCACTCCCACAGATGGGGCGGTAGAAACCCTACAGCAATGGCTTCAGGTACAATAGCTGCACGAGCATGAGCAGCTGCCGAGACAGCGCAGGAGGTAACAGCAGCTCCTTTTCATAGCACCTGCTGAACCATAAGGTCACAAACACAAAACCACAAAAAAACACAAACCACAAGCACAGCAGGAAAACTGCTGCCACTGTGCCAGCTTCGTCATACCGGTCAAACTCTCCAATGACGCCATGATCAAACCCTTGACTTGGCGGCGCTCCACATCTGTTTGCAGAATGCGAATGTCCATACCAAGTGACACAAACCAAAATAATGGATATACGACGCCACGTGGAAATTTCGTCAAACTTACGATCACGAGAAACAGCCCAAGAACAACCATACCTTCTTCTTGATATCCTTGAGATCTCGTAGAAGTCCGGTCATTCGCGGATCAGAAAGCGGAAAATCCATACTGCCCGTCTATTCGAACGACCGGGGCATCACAATGTCATAAACATCAATGTCTCTCTCGTTGACAGCACACAAGGTATCGGATCCTGTTCACTGCGCCAAATGTCGTATCTGGTCGGCCGGGGGTTAGACCCCACGGCTGCGGTTCGACGACATGACGAACTTACTGTTAACCTTCACATTACAAGGCCGTGCAGTGGTGGCCACTTTGAGAGAGTCCACCAACAGAAGTACTCTTACGCACGCACGCACATATACCTAGACATACTCTCTCACACACCCACACACACACTCAGGCATATACAGACACGTACACTCACACCAGCGTTCAGGTTGACTCACATCTTGAAAGAGGGTACATGTGACTCAGTTCAAGAGACAATAATGAAGAGCACAAGGCAAGACAGACGAAAGCCGAAGCTTCCGCCTGAAGGCGGAAGGCAAGAGACAGAGAGAAAAGGAAGGTGATGGCAATAGTATCTACACATGTAGTTGCGGCCATGGAAGTCAATGGCCACGAGATTGCTGGTCCCGCATGCAATAGCGTATCAAACCGTAGTAAATATGTGTACGAACTGTTGCATAAAGGGCGGGAGCCATGTGGGGAAATAACAGCGTATACCAAATAAGGAAGGCCCCAGGTCTTGTGTGAAGACATAAAATAAAGACGATTATGAACCCGTTTACGGGAGATAGATAAATAATTAGACACCTAAATAAGGCATACTTGTCCCGTAAAGGCCTAAAAGGCACGTGTCAATAGTATGGATACGACACCTTCTACGTTATCTACTCTTCCAACACACTGCCGTGATCATGTTCTTTCTTTTCCTTTCAAAGGACCGTTGAAATAATGAATGAAACGTATAGGCAATGAAAACATACAAATACATGTATATCGGATGGGGGAAGTGTGGTTCGCCACACAGTTATTTGGTAACTCGTAGCCTGGCACAAGGAAAACATGGATACAGCAAATGGGATTTTCGGTCATTGACTACTTGATGGTCGGTCTGATCTGCGGCTTGATCCTGCAGACGTTTGACACTCGTGTGGATGCGAAAACTCTGCCCGACAGAGTCTCAGGAAAAATCTTCCTTATATAAAACTCCTATTCCGTGGCTTGTTCT